AGAATTAATGCTTTTGAGTTATGGTATTGGAGGAGAATATTGAAAGTGCCATGGGCTGCCAAAAGAAGTGCAGCCAGAGTGCTCCTTAGAGGCCAAGATGGCCAAACTTCATCTCTCATACTTTTGGACATATTGTCAGAAGTGACCAGTCGCTGAAGAAGGATATCATGTTTGGTAAGGTGTAGGATCAAAGAAAAAGAGGATGTCACCCAACGAGACAGATTGGCCAGTGGCAGCACCAATAGACTCAAGCGTGGCAACAGTAGTGAGGTTGGCCCAGGACTGGGCAGTGTTTCTGTTGTGCATAAGGTCGTTATGGTTCGGTACTGACTCATAAGCACCTACAACAATAACATTATAGTAGAAAAGTTACATACACATAAACACACATAGGTAGATGGTTGTGTTCCAATAAGTTTTTTTTCTTGAAAATTAAACTGAAAACTGAAAAATACTTTAAAATATTTAAAGCACTTATATTTCTATTTAAGGGTTGAAAATACAAGTACTTAGAAACTGGTCTACCTTATTATAAGCAAAAATTGATAATACAAAAATCCAATGGAACCATCAAATTTTCTTTTGCAAATGACATCATTAAAGGGTTACTGAGTAATGCATTACTGCACAATGTTAGATACCTCCCTCTATAGGTCTCATCTTCCCCATACTAGTTCTTAAGACTATAGCAGAAGGCATTTACAGGAGGACTAATGTTACCTTTATTTTCTACAATTTCCAAGACTACAAGGGGAGTAACGCTGACATAAGCACCTAAAAACATTTCCTACTGGTCTACACTAGGGCATTTCTCCTCGGTAACTCTTAACTTTGGGCAACAATGAGTTCCACTTAAGCTCTGGCACCTCTTTATTCTGTTGGGTTTGCTGCCACCTCCAGCGCCGCTTCAATGCTTCCTTCTCTGCTCCCTTTTCCATCAGTGCATACAATGCTTTCCGTAGCATCAAGTCCCGATCATGGAAGCCCCACATCCCTGTGGCAAGAAAGCATGGTGATGACCAGGAGAGCAAAGACACCTTACTGTGACTTAATCCCACATATCAACTGTGATACACAGACCCTTGTTCTTGCTTTGTGCCATGGAGTCGGTTCAGACTCATAGCGACCCTGTACAGGGTTTCCAAGGCTGTAAATCTTTATAGGAGCAGAAAGCCTCATCTTTCTCCCGCGGAACAGCTGGTAGTTTCGAACTGCTGTCCTTGCGGCCCGCAGCCCCATTCGTAACCACTACGCTACCAGAGCTCCTTACACAGACCCTAGCACGAAGGAAAATAAGATAAAGCCCAGATTTAAAAACAAAAAACAAAAAACCCTGCTATAGTTGATTTACAGAGTGCTCTCGGCTAATGCATCAGATAGCAAAGTTGTTTGAACTGCAAAGTGAGTGGTTCAAGCTCACCAGCTGCTCCACAGGGTCGTTATGGGTCGGAATCGACTCTAGGGCACTTAGCAACAACAACAAATAGTTTACAGAAGTACTTAAGAGAGAAAAGGTATTACTACTCTCACGGTTCAGAGACTCTGAGCACTTGAGAGTTGGGGATATACCACATTCAAACTCCTGGCAGCAAATAAATCTGAAAAATTTAAATACAAAATAGCAGCAGATACAATTGGCCTGGCATACATCATCAGAGCTTAAGGGATGGTTAGAACATGGGGACCTTTTTAAAGGGGAGGTAAATAATATATTGATTTGTAAATAGGTTTTATAATTTAAAGTAAACAAAACTCATAAATATATCTGAAAATGTATCTTTTTACACATCAAAGGAATAAATACTGAACAGAAAACACACACACACACACACACACATACACGTACATGAGGTGGCTTCAAAAAGCTCAAGGGAAAATTCCACTATCTTTTAATTCCATTTTCCATGAACTTTCTGAAACCTCCTCGTATATATGCTTTTTCTACTTCTGCCTACAGTCAAGGTGTAATTAAACTTCACAAAGGATGTCTGATTCTATGGCTTTCTGTTCCACAAAAAGTGAAAGACAGTTTTTGGGACTCACCAAGGGAAGCTGCATGCAGAAGACAGTTTCCATCTCCAGTAGTTGCCAAAGGAAGCAGCCTCTGACAGGTGGGGTCCACACTCACCCACCAGTTCAAACGCCCTGCAGATATATGACAGTAGAGGAATAGGAAAGGAATAGATGGTCTACATATCTCTATTTCTAAATCACTTCAAAATTGTCTCCTCCAGGAAGTCTACCTAGAATATACCCATTCATCCACTGTCTGAGTTCTCAATTACTCTGTACATTCTTCACACCTAGTCAGTTAGAAACCAGTGAGTATGATGAGTACTGAATTTCACAACCTTCCTTTCTCAAGGCAAAATGAGTTAATAAGCTCATTTGTCACAATGCAGGGGGTGGAGGAGAGGTGCTACTGGCATCCAATGGTTACATGCTAGGAATGCGGCTAAACATAATATAATGCACAAGACAGCTTCTACACAAAGAATTATTCAGCCCAAAATGCCAACAGTACTGAAGTTTGAGAAACCCTGGGTTACATGATGAGATTAAGGTCATAAGTTCAAAGCCTGTGTGGACTACTTGGTTTGGCTCTATATCCTTCATTCTGGTCAGAAGACTAGTAAATTCATTATTAGTAACAGAAAAACAACTTAAAGCATGTATTAAAAATAACCTGGGGCTATCAACTGCATATATGACAGTCAGCACATCAGTATGACTTTAAAGACACGAGTAATAGGACACAGCATATAAATACTCAAAAAAGAAATCTCAATTCTTTGTAGTCATCCCGTAATTGCCAATCCATTATTTACATGAAGAAAATATTTTATGAATAATGTTAAAAAAATAACCTTAGCTTTCTTTAACAAAAATGTACACAAAGAAAACCTGGCCTAAAATCTCATTAGGTAACTTAAAAAAAAAAATTAGAAATAAATGTAGATTTTTTTTTTAAGTCCCCAAAGTATAGAAGGGTACAAAATGAAAAATGAAAGCTTTCCTTCCATGTTCCATACAACCTTCAACTCCCAGGTGCTCTCCTCTGGAAGTTTTTGAATACCTGACTAGCTTTCCCATAACTCTAAGATACCCCTCTCCTCATCATAAAAACTCCTTTAAAAATTAATTTAAGACAAACATGATTATAAAGGTAAATAACTCTCTGTCAAATGTTCATATAAATGTACATGACTTCTGTGCCTCATCCACAACACTGATCCTTTCTGTTCATAGGGTATTCCAGAGCCAATTGCAAACAGTTTGTAATTTTTCATGTGTTTATTTTTATTAATGCTAGGCATTTCATATGTATATCTGGTTTCTCCTTCTTTAGATAAAGTGTCTAACTTATGTCCTTTCTTTAATGCCTAGCTCAGTATCTACTTATTTGATTGACTCCTGACTGTGACTAGTCAGACCACACAGTTAGACTAGAAGCTAAGGATCAGGCTCAACCCCTTCAATATTCTGTCTCTGTGATACCTAGGAATAGAGAGTACAGGGAAGACAGGAGAAGCAGCACTCACTGACCTGCCTGTTCCAAGGCAACCAGCATAGACTGTTCAATGAGGTCTCTCTCGATGAAGCTGCGGAAGTCTTCATTATACACAGTGAGATCTGGGAGCTGGAAGGCACAGATGGGCATTTCCAGGGGGTGCTCATTGCTCCCCCCACCCCCACCATTGGAGGAGACATGGGACCGGGCCAGGGAAACAATGCTGGAGCTGGCGTGGGAGATGCCCCTAGACAGGCGTTTTTCTGCAATGAGAAATGGAGTCACCTTAGAACACACACAGCCCAAGCAGAGAACCCTCCACTGATGTGGTGATTGTTACCTCTCCACAGGGTTTCCACTCAGAAAACAACAAAAGTCTAATTGGCTACTGAATTTCACAACCTTCCTTTCTCAAGGCAAAAACACGCAGGTACTTTATATGAGCACCAAATACTATACATTCCTCTTTCTACCTTTGTTTCAAATTTGGCTGACCTGCCTCTGCTATGACTTAGTCTTCTTCTACTTCCTAACATGTTAGAATATGGGAAATATGGCTTTACCTGGCTATATTTAATCCATCTATCTTTTTGAAAATGTTCAGAGTCTTGAGGAATGTAGGAAAGCATTTCCACTATTAATGACAAATCTTACACATCTAAAGTTTTCTTAACTACCATCAAAACATCTATTTACATTATTATTATTACTATGACTTTACTTGATGCCCATAAATTGGGGACTACACATGTAGACGCTGACTTAACGTTATTTAAGTCATAAATTGCTAAAAATGAAATGACTGAATCAAAGAGTATATGTACATTTTAAATTTTTGATAGGAAAAATATTATTAAATTATCCTCAAAGAGATAAATTGGTAATGACCCTTTCAATTCTATCTTTAAGTGTCCCCTATCTCAACAAACTGGTTGCTATTCTCCTTCCTCTGTTTCTTCCTTCATTAAGGCCTTCTTCAAAATGAAGAGAGTCAGTGAGGCCACCTTTCATCAATTCAGCTGGGAGGAGAGAGAGGAGGAATGGACTCATCTTCACAGGGCCACTAGTCTTTCTGACTGCATTTAGCAGTCCCATTCCTTTTTATTCTATTACTCCATATTCAGAAATGTCCCTCAGTTAGCCAGTACCTTGAACGATGTCATCCTGCCGCTGTAGGGGGGGCCGGGTAAGACGAGTAGACTCTCTGTCCGAAAACCCCTTTTCAGGAGTCTTGGGGCCACCACTCCCCTCACTAAAGGGTAGGGGTAGGTTCCCAGCATGGACTTGACGTAGCTGTTCAAAATCACTGAGTGCTGCACTCACATCCCAATTCTTTCCTGGTCAAGAGAGAAAGAAAAACATGAGTTGTATAATGCAAAGTACCGAGAAATCAGGGAAAGCAACATAAAGCTTACTCTAAACCATTCTATAAAAAACAGCAAGCACATACTCATGTACACTTAAAACACTCTCATTTCTCTTATTCTGCTTCAATTTTCTTCATAGCATTTCAATCTGAACTATTACTCATTGATTTACTTGTTGTCTATCTCCTACGTAAATATCATGAGGTTAGAAACTTTATCTTTCTTGGACATCTGTATGTCCTTGGCTCTTAGAACACTGTCTATTATATAAAAGATACTCAATAAATATTTAGCAATTTGATTGAATAAAGGAAATGTCATACATAAACAAGCATTTCTTGTGCTATGGGCTCATTTGGTACTTTAGATTCCCAAGTGGTATTATTTAAATTGGCAATTAATTCAGATAAAGATTACACAGAGCCAGTCGTCATTAAAACAATTCAGATGTAATAGCTAAGAGTGACCAACTGTTTTGCTCTACAGAATTAAATATACTTTGCTTTTAATATCACAAGGTGTCCCTTCAAAATCCTTCAGGGCTAAAAGCAGCAAATATCTGGGTGATAGAATCAATCACAGTATTTAAGGGAAAAAACTAGTATGAGGAAAACAGTCTACAAATAAAAAAACAAACTTTAAGTTCCGGTCACTTAACTGAACAGACAGCAGTAGAAAAAGTCTTGATATATGAAACAGCTTTAAAAGTATGTGGAAAAATTCCATTATCTTTCGATTCCATTTTTCCATGAATTTTTTGAGGCCCTCCTTGTATAATGTTGTAATTGTTGTTATTAAGTGTCATCAAGTTGATTTGGACCCATAGTGGCCCTGGTTTCCGAAGAGCAGCTGGTGGGATTGAACTGCCGACCTTGTGGTTTGCAGTTCAGTGCTGATCCTACAGCGCCACACTAGAATAACTACTGAATAAAACCCCTGACTAAAACAAGAAAGAATGATTGTCAAATTCTTAAAACAGTTAAATATAATTTCGTGAACTAAAATTTAAACATTTTGATACCTTAATCTTTGTCATGATTTCATTTGCCATTATTTGAAAATACTAACTTATTTAAAAATATTTGTCAAATTCAGGCATACTACTTATTAGAAAACACAACTGAAGCCAATACTCAAATTAAAAAAACAAACAAACTGTCGTATAATATCAGAACTGAAAAGGTCCTTTAAAATCTACTATTATAGCCTCGGAAACCCTGTTCAGGGTCGCTATGGGTCGAAACCGACTCGACGGCACTTAACAACAACACAACAATCTAAAATCTCGTGCAGTTGTACTCCTCACACATGGGGCTGCTATGAGTCAGAACAGATATAATGGCAACCAACAACAACTGACATTTGGAAGGCTAAGTACATTTCTTAGTATCACTTAGTAAGTGACATAAAATAATAATAAAAAAATAAAACCTCTTTATTACAGATGAAGGAAAGGAAGCCTAGCTAGTTTTCTTCAGGGCCTAACAGGATTCAAACCCAGGTTTCCTACCTCAGATCCAGAGAGGTCCTTAGCCTGGATGGGCTTCAGGGTATCCTAAACCACTTGCAACTGTATACAAAGCTACGTGGTATAAGAATTTTCCTAGGGAAAGGTTGATAGCTATCATTAGATTATCAAAGGGTACTGTGTTGTTGTTAAGTGGCATCGAGTCATTTCCAACTCATAGTGACCCTGTATAGGGTTTCCAAGGAGCAGTTGGTAAATTTGGACTGCCGATCTTGTGATTCAAACTGTTCTTGCAGTCTAGTGCATTATCCCACAGTACCATACCAGGACTCCTAAGGTTTACAATAGTTAACTCACAAGTTTACTAGTTAACAAAACACTAATAATTAACAAAAGACTTACAATACTTAACAATCACTACACTACTGAAAGGAGCTCTGGTAGCATAGTTGTTACAAGTTGGGCTGCTAACCTCAAGGTTAGCAGTTAGAAACTACCAGTTATTCCATGGGAGAAAAATACAACCTTGGAAACACTGTGCAGGGTTGCTAGGAGTTGGAACTGACTCCACAGCACACTACCCTAATGGAGTCCTATGCAGGGTCCCTATGAGTCGGAGCTGACTCCATGGCACCACCACCCCATCCCCCTTCCACTGAAGGAGAGTCCTGGTGTGGAGCTATGGAATAATATACTGGACCACAAGGTCAGCTTGAACTGCAAGGTTGGCGATTCAAATGCAACAGTTGCTCCTTGGAAACTCTATACAGGGTCACTATGAATTGGAACTGACTCAACAGCACCTAACAAACAATACCCTACTGTTATGCTTTAGGATAAGCACTGGACTGCTAATCACAAGGTTGGTAGTTCAAATCTACCAGTAATTCCATGGAAACCCTATATAGAGTCACTAGGAGTCAGAACGGACTTGATGGCACTTAACAATCATGCTACTGAAATAAGGAACCCTGGTAATATAGTAGGTTGAGAACTAGGTTATGAGTTGGGCTGCTAACTGCAAGGCAACAGTTCAAATCTACCAGCCACTCTGCAGGAGAAAGACTTTCTGCTCCTGTAAAGATTTACAGCCTCAGAAACCCTATACAAGGTGTCTATGAGTCAGCACCAACCCCATGACCCACAACCTACTGAAATAAGGAGTCTACTGGCAGAGTAGATTAAGAATTGGGCTGCAAACTAAAAGGTTGGCAGGGTTCAAACCTACCAGCCACTCTTCAGGAGAAAGATAAGGCAGTCTGCTTCTGTAAAAATTTACAACCTTGGAAACTCTATGAAATAGTTCTACTTTGTCCTATAGGGTTGCTGTGAGTCAGATTTGGGTTTTACTCTACTAAAGAAAGGAGCTCTGGTAGCACAGTGATTACGAGTTGGTCTGCTAACCTCAAGGTCAGCAGTTTGAAACTACCAGCTGTTCCACAGGAGAAATATGAGGCTTTCTGCTCCCATAAAGATTTACAGCCTTAGAAACATTATATAGGGTCACTATGAGTCGGAACTGACTCCATGGCACATAACCAATCATACAAAAGAAAATATCCTAAACGATGACTTTGGCATATAGATTTACCAGTTGCTTTCTCCAGTCAAATCAATAAATCTGTATTGTTCAATAAACATCTAAACTGTCATCACTTTAATCTAATCCCAATCACCTAGTGTCCCATCTTTGGATCCACTTTAAAGAATCTCTTAAGATTAGTTCTGAAAATTTTAGTTCCAGGATCAAAATATTTAAAGGCTTATTTTTTGTTGTTACTTGTTGTTGAGTGTGGTCGAGTCAGTTCCAATTCATAGTGACCTTGCATAGGGTTTCCAAGGAGCAACTGGTGGGTTTGAACCACTGACCTTGTGGTTAACAGTCCATTGCTTATCCTACAGGCCTTACCAGGACTACCTATTTAATAAAGCTTAGTCCCCTTTGTCTGATATAAAAGTCTTTCTATGACCTAGCCTCTACCTACTTTTCAAGCCTTTACTCTGTCTCAATTTCCTCATCTGTGAAAATGAAGATAATAATAGTACCTCATAGGACAATTACAAAGATTAAATGAGTAGAACATACTTAGAATTGTGCTTGGTATGCAGGAATCCTAACGTATCTTTCAATTCCATTTTCCCACAAACTTTCTGAAGCCCCCTTGTGTGTGATTACTGTTGTATTTCTTATTACCATAATGCTCCATTCTAAGTCTGATGACTTTACTTCCGAACCATTATATTTACCATTTGTTCCAACTTTCTTTGCTCACTCTGCTCCAGTCATATGGGCCTCCTTGATGGTCCTGTTGTTGTTTTTGTTAAGTACCATCAAGTCGGTTCTGACTCATAGCGATCCTGTATAGGGTTTCCGATGAGCGGCTGGTGAGTTTGAACAATTAACCTCAAGACTCCAGACCTTGTTGCTGTTGTTAGGTGCCATGAGTCAGTACTGACTCATAGCGACCCTATGCACAACAGAATGAAATACCGCCTGATCCTGGGCCAAGCTCACAATTGTTGCCACACTTGAGCCCACTGATGTGCCACTTTGCCAATCCATCTCGCTGGGGGTCTTCCTCTTTTTCTCTGACCCTCCATCTTACCAAACATGATATCCTTCTCCAGCGACTGGTCCCTCCTGACAACATGTCCGAAGTATGAGAGACAAAGTTTGACTAATCCTGGCCTCCAAGGAGTACTCTGGCTGCACTTCTTCCAACACAGATCTGTTGGTTCTTTTGGCAGCCCATAGCACTTTCAATATTCTCCTCCAACACCATAACTCAAAAGCATCAATTTGTCTACGGTCTTCCTTATTCACTGTCCAGCTTTTGCATGCATGTGAGGTTACTGAAAATACCATTTCTTGGGTCAGGTGCACCTTAGTCCTCAAGCTGACATCTTTGCTTTTCAACACTTTAAAAAGGTCTTGTGCAACAGATTTGCCTAATGCAATACGTCGTTTGATGTCTTGACTACTGCTTCCATGAGTGTTGATAATTGATCCAAGAAGAATGAAGTCCTTGACAACTTCATTCTTTTCTCCATTGATAAGAATGTTGTTTATTGGTCCAGTGGTGAGGATTTTTGCTTTCTTTACATTGAGATGCAACCCATACCGAAGGCTGTGCTCTTTGATCTTCATCAGTAAATATTTTAAGTCCTCTTCACTTTCAGCTAGCAAGGATGTATCATCTGCATATAGCAGGTTGTTAATGAGTCTTCCTCCAATCCTGATGCCATGTTTTTCTATGCCATCTTCTCGGATTATTTGTTCAGCATACAGGCTGAATAAGTATGGTCAAAGAATACAACCCTGTCGTACACCCTTCTTAATTTTAAACTATTCAGTGTTCCTATGTTCTGTTCGAACAACTCCCTCTTGGCCCAGGTACAGATTCCTCATGAGCACAATTAAGTGTTCCAGAATACTCAACTTTGCAATGCTTTACATAGCTTGTCATGACCCACACAATCAATAAATCAATAAAGCAAAGGT